AAAAAGGACTTTGCACATGTGATTAAGTTAAGGATTTTTAGATGGGAGATTATCCTGGATTAGCCAGGTGGGTCTGATGCAATCGCAAAAGGTCCTTATAAGAAAGAGGCAGAGGGTCAGCCAGCTAGAGGGCATTGTGCACATCCCCCAGGAATGGGAGCAAAGAACTTGAGATTTCAGCCTGAAATAGTTTATGAGACACTACCCCGACACCCCACTCCCATCAGAGTCAGGAGGCCTTCAGTCTGTTGGCACTGAGCCTCTGAAGGAACATGGTGGGGACACAGTAGAAGAGACACAGAGTATAGGGGAAAGAAATGACAGCAAGAACCAGGGCAGAACCTGCTTCCTTCTGCGTCCTTGGGCCAGGCCTTGTCTGCCTCCTGGTGCCCTGGCTCCACCATCCTCCTGGCCTCCTCCCCTAGGGCCATCTTGTTTAGACCCTGCCTTCAGGTAGCTAAGTGTGTCATTGTTGCTCTTTCAGGGGGGCCACCAATACAGTCACCTGACCCTTAGTATTAGCTGTAAGGATTGTCCTTCTTTTAGGATACTCCCAGAATCCTCTGTTCTGGCTTCCTTAAACCCTGCTGATGAGAGAGGCTGAGTCACAGGGGCGGGAAGGTGGGGAGGAAGGGGGAAATTCTCCCAGGTTTTCTTTTTTTTTTTTTTAAAGATTTTTAAAAAATTTTTATTTATTTATTCATGAGAGACAGAGAGAGAGAGAGGCAGAGGCAGAGGGAGAAGCAGGCACCCCGCGGAGCAGGGAGCCCGATGCGGGACTCGATCCCAGGACCCTGGGATCATGACCTGAGCTAAAGGCAGATGCTTAACCAACTGAGCCACCCAGGCATCCCTCTCCCAGATTTTCTGAGCTCGATTATAAATGCTAGAGATTTGTTAACCTTAACAACGATGAGGGGAATGAGAGGATGATCAGAGGAAAGGTAGCAGTGTTTATAGAACCAAGACAGGGTATAAATCTATATAAATAAGTAAATAGCTACTAGATACCATGCCACAAACATCCTGTGTTCTAGCTCATTCAGTCATCCCATTTGGGAAGTTTCAGTATCTGTATGTTATAGATAAGGAACTGAGGCACAGAGAGGATATGTGACTTTCAAAAGGTCACACACACACACATACACACACAGGTCACACAACTAGTTAATGATAAGGCTATAGTTTTAGCTCAGATCTAACTTCAGAGCCCAGGCCTTTAACTACCACACTGTTCTATCTCCTAAAAATAGTTTAAATTTACAACGTGCCCATTGATGCCCCATTTTAAATCAAGCAATAGTTTCCTAGGAATGGGAAGTTAGGTGCAGGTGGGAGAAGAATGGGAGGAGCCGCATGGGGAAGAGCCTGCAAGGTGAGTGAGGGGCCCACCAACTGGTCGCCTCTAATCAAGGGGACTTAATCAAGTGGCAGACCAAGGCCAGACTACCTTAATCAAAGCACACAGAGCTTTGGATTAAACACCGCTTTTTAGAAATTGAACTTGAATTTTATTCTTTTTCAAGTGCAGTTTTATTTTTGACCAACTTTATGCCGTCTTGCCAATGTTCTCAAATAGTTTTGCATTGCCTGCAAGTTATTCAAAGCCATTTTAGGGCCAAAGCATATTTTTTATGTGATTTCAAGTTGGCAGGCATCGAGGCTTAGTGGAAAGCACCCAGGGGCTGGACAGACCTAGGAGTCCCAGGTTCTGGTCCCAAACTTGCTGTTTAGGCCTGGATAGGCCTGCAGAAGTCCTCACTGCACATTCAAACAAGGTGTCTGGTTTGAAGCCATGAAAAACATGGAAGATTTTGGTTTTCTACAGGCCTCAGCTCCAGGTCCAGTCCTGCTCGCTGGATGGAGGTTGAGAGGTCTTGATTCTGTGGCAATTGCTCTAGGTCTTTGCACAGGGCCAGCTGGGAGGGGCAAGGGCACTGGAGTCTTGGTTCTGGCCTCTGCTTGCCTGAGTCATGGGCAGCTCCCTCAGCTGGTCCCCTCAATCTCTGGGGTCCTCCAGAGGGCAAGCCTGCGGTGACTGGAGACAATTCTGGTCCCAAACTGGTTTCCAGTCCCAGGAAAGACTGACAGGTTGTCAGAGCAGGAGGCCTAGATCTGCTGGCCCTAAGGGCCACACACACTGGCCGTGGGCCCAATATATTGAAGAAGAATCCCCAGAGGATGGGGCACCTGGGTGGCTCAGTAGGTTAAGCATCTGCCTTTGGCTCAGGTCATGATCCCAGGGTCCTGGGATCGAGTCCCACATTGGGCTCCCTGCTCCATGAGGAGGCTGGCTTCTCCTTCTATCCCTCCTCCCCACTCCCTGCTCATGCACACACTGGCATAAAAACAGACACACAGATCAATGGAACAGAAGAGAGCCCAGAAATAAACCCATGCATATATGGTCAATTAATTTACAACAAAGGAGCCAAGAATATACAATGGGGAAAGGACAGTCTCTTCAATAAACGGTGTTAGGAAAATGGGACACCACATGCAGAAGAATGAAACTCGACTGCCATCTTACAGCATACAAAAACATTAACTGAAAATGGATTAAAGACTAGAATGGAAGACTAGAATAAAGACTAGAATGGAAGACCTGAAACCCTAAACCTCCTAGAAGACAACATAGGTGGTGGGCTCCTAGACACAGGTTTTGGCGATGATTTTTTGAATCTGACACCAAAAGCAAAAGCAACAAAAGCAAAAAAACAAAAACAAAAAACAAGTGGAAAATAAAAAGGTTCTGCATAGCAAAAGAAACCATTAACAAAATGAAAAGGCAACTACTGAATGGGAGAAATATTTGTGAATCATATATGTGATAAGGGGCTAATATCCGAAATATATAAAGAACTCATGTAACCCAACAGCAAAAAATAAATAAAAATAAAAATGGGCAGATCTGAATAGACACTTTTTCTTTTCTTTCTTTTTTTAAAGATTTTATTTATTTGAGAGAGAGAGAAGTGTGAGCTCACACAAGTGGGGGGAGGGGCAGAAGGAGAGGGACAAGCAGACTCCCCACCAAGCTGGGAGCCCCTACACAGGGCTCCATCCCAGGACCCCAAGATCATGACCTGAACTGAAGTCAAAGGCTTAACCAACTGAGCCACCCAGGTGCCCCAAATAGACATTTTTCCAAAGAAGACATATAGATAGCCAACATGTATATGAGAATATGCTCAAGAGCATTAATTATCAGGGAAATGCAAATCAAAACCACAAGGAGCTATCACCTCACACCTGTTAGAATGACTATCATCAAAAAGACAAGAGATAACAAGTGTTGGCGAGGATGTGGAGAAAAGGAAACCTTGTCCAGTGTTGGTGGGAATGTAAACTGGTGCAGCCACTGTGGAAAACAGTAGGGAGGGTCCTCAAAAAATTAAAAATAGACCTACCATATGAGCTAGCAATTCCACTTCCGGGTGTTTATTCAAAGAAAACAAAAACACTAACTCAAAACGATAGATGCACCCCATGTTCACTGCAGCATTATTTACAATAGCCAAGACATGGAAACAACCTAAATGTCCACAGATGGATGAATCGATAAAGAAACTGTGGTATATATACACAATAGAATATTACCCAGCCATAAAAGGAATGAAATCTTGCCATCTGAGACAACATGGATGGACCTCAAGGGTGTTATGCTAAGTGAAATAAGTCCGACAGAGAAAGACATACCATATGATTTCTCTTATATGTGGAATCTGAAAAACAAAAACAAAAACACAAAAACCCAAGCTGATAAATAAAAGAGAACAGAGAACAGATTAGTAGTTAGGAGAAATGGGTGAAGGAGATCAACAACAACAAAAGCAATTAAAAAACAACAACAACAGATTTTTAAAAATCCCCAGAGAGCTGCTTATAAAAACAAAATAGATCCCTGGGACTGCCAAGTTGGACTTTCTTTTTTTTTTTTTTTTTTTTAAGATTTTATTTATTTATTTGACAGAGACAGAGACAGCGAGAGCAGGAACACAAGCAGGGGGAGTGGGAGAGGGAGAAGCAGGCTTCCCCTGGAGCAGGGAGCCCGATGTGGGGCTCGATCCCAGGACCGTGGGATCATGACCTGAGCCGAAGGCAGTCGCTTAACCAACTGAGCCACCCAGGCGCCCCAAGTTGGACTTTCTAAATCAGATCACCCAGGAGTAGGACCTGGGCCTCTTTAACAAAGTCTTCAGGGGATTCTTAGGGATAGCAGCCAGGTCCAGTCTCTCCACTTTTCCAGGGGAAACTGAGGCCCAAAGAGGTCTTGAGCCAGTCAGCAGCAGAAACAAAATAAGAAATTAGGTCTTCTGAACCACAGTTAGATGTTCTTCCCACACTAAGACCAGGAGCCCACAAGACTGAAAAGAACTGCCCACCATTTATTTGTTTTAATATTCTTAAAATCAAAGATAATATTGCATATAGTATAAAGAGTCAAATACAGGTAGTTTTACAAGGCTTGGATGAAAAAACATAGTTCCTTGTCCATGCTCCCCCATTTGCCCCTCCCCAGAGGCAATGACCTTCAACTTTTCCAGCTGATTGTTTTAGTATTGAAAGAGACCAGAATGTCACCCCAAAATATGCCTGTGTGACATAAAAATTATTTTGAGTTGAAGGTAATTAAGAAGTAGCAAATGCAGAAAAAAGCTCTCTCTACCCTTCCCCCACATTTTGCCTAAAGGCAAAGTATAAATTCTCCTTTTCTGGAGACAGATTCTTATCACCCCAGACATGCTCCAGAGGAACCAGCCAACAAACCTACTCAGTTGGTTTGCTTCCTGTTATTTACACAGTCCCCTCCCCCCAACAACTTGCCATCCCTGGAAGCCCAAAACCAGTTTCCTTTGTCCTGTCATTTCTCTACAGATTTATTGTTCTTTGTTGAAGCTGCTATACAAGCCAGAGTTCTAACTGCTGCTTTGAGTTACTTTTCATTGAGGTTTCTCCCACATGATGTGTGCTACATGCATTAATAAACTGTTTTTCTCTTTTTTTTTTTTTTTTAAGATTTTTATTTATTTGCCAGAGAGACACAGAGAGAGAGGGAACACAAGCAGGGGGATTGGGAGAGGGAGAAGCAGGCTTCCCGCGGAGCAGGAGCCCGACATGGGGCTCAATCCCAGGGCCCCGAGATCATGACCTGAGCCGAAGGCAGACGCTTAACAACTGAGCCACCCAGGCACCCCTGTTTTTCTCTTCTTAATTGGTCTTTTCCATGAAGAGCCCCAGCTGAAAACCTAAAATGGGTAAAGTTTGGCCTCCCCTACAGTATTTACCTCCACCTTTGGCACTGTTTGCATTTTTACAATGAGCGTGCGTCACTCTTGTGTAAATTTTTTTTTAAGTTTATTTATTTATTTTTAAGTAATCTCAACACCCAACGTGGAATTCAAATTCACAACGCTGAGATCAAGAGCCACATGCTCCTCCGATTGAGCCAGCAGGGTGGCCCTCTTACGTAGTCTTAATAATCCAGTTACAGTGGCTTGCCAGGTCTGGCACAGGACTGGGATGCACAGGCATTGTGGAATGCACCAGTGCTCACTGGGCACAGGCTACCAGCTCCTCCAGCGCTTGCTCACTGTGGTTGCCGTGGACCAGCAGCACTTCCTTGATCCGGTCCTGCTCGAAGCCCATGTCGCTGAACTGTGCCCAGAGGCGCAGGAACTCACCTGCCTGAGGAAGGGGACTCTGCCAGGCCCGCCACCTCCCTGTGGAGCCCTCTCCCTGGTACCTACTGTATCTACTCCCACAAAGCTATGGACTTCCCAAGCCAGGTAAGCCTGATCCTGGGCAGCACCTGTTTTTCTTCCTGTACCTTGGGGTGACATGGGCTTGGATCTCCCTTCCTGAGCCAAGGAAGGCCTGGTCACTGGCTCCATCCTGGCTTTACTCCAGCTCATTCCTGACTCCCTGTGCTCGGGAACTGGGGCAGAAAGCAAGAGGCTACATACTGGGGCCCAGAGGATGCACAGCCTGGGGTCTCTGCCCGAACCCCAAACCCTGCCAAAGTTTCACGCAGTGCAGCCTCTGCCCTCCTTCCTCCTCTGGCCCCAGTGCCTGAAAAGTCCCTGCTTCTCCTCCCTCCTTTCTCCTTGGCATCCCTCCCAGCCCCCTGTCCTTGCCTCAGCTTCTGTGGAGAAGTGCTCAGCAGAGCTTGGGCCAACAGCACGCTGTGGACAGGTCATGTACACTGGGCACTCAGAATGTACCACTGGCCCCACAGATGTCTGCCTCCTGGGTTTCCAGGTAGGCAGCAAACTCCCTGAGTAGAGTTTATGCATCTTTGTGCTGTGCATGGCTCCTCTCTGGGTGTCTGACAGAGTGGGCATCCAATAATATTTGTGTGTTAATTCGGCTAAATAAAGCAAAAGCCTTGCCTCCTGTTTCCCTCCCCACCTCTTCTCCTCCCCTTCCCCACGCTTCACCTCCCTGGACTGTCTCCTCCTCTGCAGGGCTCAGCAAGCAGGCTCTATCCTGATGGCCCTCAGGCTCTGGTTCCGGCACGGGTGTACCCCTGCACACTAGGCTCGTGTGTGCACCCCCACCGCTCCCCTCCCCTCCCCCTGGGTCCGGGCAGGTGGCCCTGCTGACCTGGCTCTCGGAGAACTGGAACATCTCCATGGCCTCCTCCACCAGCCCCTCCTCGTAGCCTTGCCGCAGCAGCCGGTCACAGGCACTAAGGTAGCCGAGAAACTGGGCCACAAGGGCCCCAGCGCGGGGGTGGTAAGGGCATTGGCAGGGGCAGCAGATGGGACAGAGGAGGCACCCTGGGGGTCTCAGCGAGGCCTGGGCTCAGACCAGGCTGCCGAGTCAACCCACTACACACAGAAATGGCCTCAGAGACCTGTGAGCTAACAGAAGAGGGGCAGAGGCCTCCCCTGGGGACCTGGGGGTGGGTGGACAGCACATTCTTACCAAATGTCCCCAACCGGGGGCTGTAATCCAGGAAAAGGACTGTCAGGGTGAGCTAAGTGTTCCTAGACCCTACGTGGGGGGTGGGACTGGCTGGAAGCACAGGCACCTCACCCACCACCCGTCCCCGTCTGTCCACCCTCCCTCGTGAGCACCCACCAGTGTGAAGCAGCCTCCTCAGCACCCACACCTGGGCAGCCCCACCCTGTCCCTAGACACATGCATGTCTGCCATCCAGGCCCATGTGAGCCCCGGTGCTGGAAAGGGGAGGAGGACAGAGGAAGATACCACAGGGCTGGAAACCTGTTCACGTCACTCCGTGCTTAGTCACCAGGAGCTACTTTTGCCCTCAGGATGAGGTACTGCTCCTTACCGGGGCCCAAAGACCTGCCCCCCTGCCCCTGTCCATGGCCTCAGCTCCCCCCTCGGCAGCCCCAGGCCTCGGCACATCTGACTCCCTCACCCCTCTTCCCTGGGGAGCCTCTGCCCCAGTCTCCACTGGGGCCCTTGCCTGTGGGCTGAGAGACTGTGCTACCCCGTCCCAGCATGTACGACTCTGTAGTCGCTCTCCTCTCTCAGCGAGGGAAGGGCTGTTTCAGTCTTGGTCACCACTGTGTCCCCAGCACCCACAGAAGGAGCTCAATAAATGTATGCTGTGTTCCTAAGATGAATTAAGAACTACCGTCAAGGAGCTCACAGCCTAGGGGGAGAGGAACCAGATATGGGAAATCCTGAGTGCCAGGCAAATCAAGGCAAGACTTATAGAGAGTCAATGCCAAATGAAGGCTCCAGACCATAGGAATTATGGGTATAGGTGGAGAAGCAACAGGGAGGTTCCTGAAGACCTTCAGAGCATGGATCATACAGATGAATGCTTTTCAAACTGCTTTAGCTTCTGAGCTGTCCAAGCATCAGTAACAATAATGGGAAGGTCGAGCTGCTCTGGGAGAACTGGGGGCAGGAGCAGGGGAGCCAGGGGTCCAGTGCTCCTCCCTCAGGACGCCTAGATCTTGCTCTGAGCATATTTTGTAAACCACCCAGCCAAGCCCTCCTTGCGCAGTGGAAGAAACAGGTTCAAGCAGGGTGGGCAGCTTGCCCAGGGACCCAGGACGAGGGCCTAGGTCATCTGACCTTTTGGCTTTGTCCATCCGGGGCCCAGTGCTGGAGGAGGGGCTCTGAGCTGCCTTGAAAGTAGACAGGATTTCCAAAGGTGAAAACAAGAGTAAGTCAAGAGTGGATGGTGGCTGCTCCCTTGGCCTCTTGGTTCAAACACAGCAAAGGTTCCTGGCCTTGGTGCCGACTGCAGCTACGTGGGAGCCTTAACACAACTACCCATAAACCATTGATGCTTGCCTCCAGAGGCTCTGATATAATTGGTCTGGGAGGCAGTCTGGGCACTGGGATTTTTATAGCTCTCCAGGTAATTCTGTGCAGCCACGGCTGAGAACCGCTGACTCAAAGGACAGCTGACCTCAATCCATACCAGTAGCCCCATGGCAGATGACATTTCAGAACCACCTTCAGATCCTTAACATGATAGGCCCTTGGGCACACTCCAGATCCACTGACTGGGATCCTCCAGAGTAGGTCCTGGGGATCTACAGTTGTAGAGACTCTGCTGCTTGGTCAGCTTTTGGGCCTACGAGACTATAGAAGCCACGAGGTCTGCCTCAGGCCCCAGCGTGGGTAAAGATGTCACCTTCACACCCCGGGATGGGGCCCTCAGCAATCATTGATTATAAACACATATTCCCCCCTCCATTCTGTGAAGAGGGAAAGTGAGGTTCAAAGAGGGGCCCTGAGGTGCCCGGAGTCCCATACCAAGTCTGGGCCTGGCCTGTGGATGCTCGCACATGTCACCCATGATGTCCTGAGGCAGCCAGTGGGCACATCAATCCTTGTAGAAGGAAGGAATGATGGACAAAGCTTATCTTTTGTATCTCCTCCTTTCTCCCTGGCTCTTCTAACTGCTCTGTCTCTGCTCACCTTCCTGGGCCATCTGTCAATAATTTCTGGCCAGAAAGGTTTACTATAGTGTATATCCTTTAAGCGGTGGCGGGGGGGAGGAATCTGAACCCAAAGGAGTTGCTCACTTAATGGTGGAACTTCACAGAATAGAGGGAAAGAATCACTTGGTGGGGGAAAACAGATGGAGTCATCCAATGGCTCTTCAGGCCCACACCTCAGGGCTTGGCTCCTGACTGACCACCATGGAAGAAGGCCACCCAGAGATCCGGCTGGCCAGGCAGGTGGTCAGTGCATATCTGGAAACACAATGTTCCTGATGCGGTGGGATTCCTCCAGCCCACCCACGGGGAGGCCAGTGACCCGTGCTGGTTCCGACTAAATCTTCAGACCCCACAGTGACAGCCTTGTCACAGAAGCTAAGGGACTGGGGGGGCATGTCAGAGCCCCCACCGTGGCTGTGGTCCCTCACAGTCCTCCTGGCCAGCTTCTTGGCCCAGGTTCTGGCTTTCAGCAGCGGCCGAAGGTGGGGACAACTTTAGATCTACTCTTAAATCACAGATCGGCCTGGGGTGCCTCCCTGGAAGGTTCTCACACAGAAAATGAGAGAAAAGTACCATGCAACAAAGATTCAGAGTCAAACCAGCCTGGCCTCTACCCTGGCTCTTCCATTGATTTGGTGATATGAACCTCCCTGGAATCGGTTTCCTCATCAGCAAAGTGGGGAGGGACAGTAGTAGCAACCTTGCAGAACTGAGAAGACCTAATAGAATATTCTCAGATTGAGGGCCTGGCACAAAAAAGGTGTTCGATGAATGTCAGCAACTATGTTGGAGGTTTTCCTCCAGGACAAGGCATGGACTGATGAAGCCAGAGGAGAGTAGAAGCAGGAGTGGGTGGGGAAGGCAGCCAGGTGCATTTGCCCACCTCCTCCACCTGGCAGGAGCACATCCTGCTTCCGCTCCAGGATGAGAGTCACTCTCCTTCTGTCCCTCCCTTATCCAGGAGCAGGCAGCTCTGGACCTCAGGGACCCGACATATGACAGTCATCAGTGATTATGGAGAGAGTATGCAAGCCCTCTGATGGTGATGGGGCAGGGACAGAAGAAAGGAAGAAGTGCCAACTGCCCTGGGGCCTTTTGATACCTGCAGCTCAGCTTTCCAACCAAAAGAGCCCGCATGTTCAGAAAACAATGGGAAGCCCAACGTGACCTTCAGGTGGGGGAAGGGCAATCAATGTTGCCTCTTGCCCCTACTCATAACCCTTCCATGCCTTCCTTTTGTTAGTGGGTCATTTGTAAACCTCTCAGCCCAGCCTTCAAGGTACCTGCAATCTGCCCTCAATTCCCCTTCCCTGTCCTATCTCCCACCAGCCTGCATCATGCACCCTGTACTCCAGCGAGACTGGTCGTATCAGGGCCTCCTGAACCCTTCCCTGCTGCCTCCACTCCTTTGCTCACACTGTTCCTCCTGCTTGGAATATCATCCCTTCTCCTTCCTTCAAATTCAGATTCATCCTTAAAGTCCAGCTCAAGAAGTGGCACCTCCATGAAGCCTTTGCTGATCACTGGAATGTCCTTGTGCTCGGTTAAGAATGGCCATACATTCTTCCCAGCCCCTTCCACCAAGAGGAGGTTTCCCCCATAGCTCCTCGCTGCATCTGAACACCTAGGAAGTGCCCAGTAAATACTGCGGACTAGATGGAATGGATGGATGGGTAGATCAAAAGAGAAAGAGATGGATATGAACAGGGATAAACTGCTCATTGAGGGAAGTGGTTAGTGCTCTGCCGTCCCTACGGTAGCCAGCAGCCACATGTGGCTATTTTAATTTAAATTAATTACAATTAAGTAAAACCAAATATTCAGTTTCTTAGTCACACTAGCCATATTTCAAGTAGCCACATAAGGCCAGTGTCTACTGTATTGGACAACCCAGGTATAAAACATCTCTCTCATTGCAAAAAGTTCTTTTGGGTATCTCTGGAGAGATTATCGGCTGCCCAAAGTTCCAGTCCCTTGTGCTTGGGGCAGAGACTGGAACAGGAGTAGAATATTAAAACTCTCCAAATGACCATGGGGATTCCTGATAAACCCTTATGGATAAAATAGCATCAGGGTCTAGAAACTTGCTCATAATTCTCAACAATTAATGTCAGGCTAAGGTTCTGCTTCTAAAGAGAAGGAAACAAAACTTTTTCAAGTTAAAGATAAAAACTACTTGGCTACTCATCTGGTTCCAGACCCACAGCACCCCCTAGCTCGGGGTCCCTCCTTCACCTACCTGGCTCAGGCTCTGCCGCCCCGTCTTCTGCAGAGCCCCGATAGCCCTATACAGGGGATATCCCAGGGCAACCACTGGCCCGATGAGGTCTTGCTCCTCCTGGCTCAGGGCAGACAGCAGGTCAGCAGAAGCAGGGTATGATCCGCAGGCGCTGAGATGCTGGGGCATCCCCCCAGGAGGTGGCAGGCAGGTGTACGGGCTGAGGGACTGAAATACAGACAGGCTGGATGTGTCAGTTACCACTGGAGGTGTCACCTGCTCGGCAGGACATTTTTCCACAAGAGAAATATGATAGGTCCATCCTATTATCCCATTTCACAGACACTGAAACTGAGGTTCAGAGAAGTTAATGACTGGGGAAGCAACACACATTTGGGACCTGAGCCCTACTCAGAATCACATTCAGTCTTTTTTACCCCACACCTTAGTGAGGGGAGGAGCAGGGGTGGATCTTCCTCCTCCTTCAGGTTGGCTGGGCTGGGGCTGGGCAGGGCGTGGAGCTGGGTAGGGACTGGGCACAGCTGTGTGCTGAGGGGACCACACTGGCCCTAGAGTAAGGAGGGTGGCTCAAAGGCATTTCAGTCAGTTTGGCCAGCATCACCCCTAACCCATTCCCCATAAAGAAGCACCCATCTGGCAACCCTGACCAGACCGCCCTGTCCCCCCCTCCCCAGGGAAAGCCCAGCTGCTGCCCTGGCTTCTGGGGCAGAGTGTATATGTGTGACATGAATTGTCCACCCATCCCTATCTTTTCAGGGGTTTTCCTGCCATGACCTTACCCTAGGTTCTGCTCTTGACCCCCAAACTGGAAAATATCCAAATCTTAGGATCTGAGTCTACTCTTGTGACCTTAAAAATGATTCTTAGCTATTCTCTGCCTCAGTTTTCTCCTCTGCAGCACATGCGCCCCATTGCCCCCACAGGCTTGTTGCTAGAGTTAAATGTAATCTGGACCAGGAAAGAGCCCATCCTGGCATCAACGTCTGGCCCTAGATGTGGTGCGCCTGTCCAGGTTACAGCCTCTTCTCTGTGTTTGCTCTAAGCAACTGTGTGAGGTAAAGTGGCCCAGGGATAGCTCAGAGCAGTTCAGTGACTTGCCAAAGGTCACACAACCGTGAGTGGAAAGAGCCAGACCTCTAATTTGTTTTTGGATTTAAATTTCACCTGGGCCTTATTCTGTTGCTTCTCCTGGCCTAACTGTAGGGCAGCTAGGGGGCAGAAAGCTGTGCCCAACTGTCACCTTTGGCTCTCAACCCTGACCCACTCCATCTGCTCCAGATCCAGCTTTTATGGAGTTTCATACTTACATAACTTGGATGTCTTAAAAAAGGCACACAATTATGAATATAAAATTAGATATAAGGCCTTGGAAGAGGCAAAGTAAGGGGTGTGAGGCTTAAGCTTCACTGGTTTCACTTTAAATTCACTTCTGCTCCCAGTTCTTCCACGGGCACATCCTCTGTCCTGAAGCCTTCCCAGTCTGCAAAAACTGTCCCCTCTCCCTCAACACCTGATCCCTCCCACTACACAGTGCTGCCTTGTCCCACAAGCCCCTTGGCGAACTCTCCTTGTCCTGTGGTTTTGACCTTGTCTCTTCCAACTCAGTGCCCAGCAGGAAATAACTGCTCAGGGAGTATCCTTTGATTGAGGCTCCAGCTCACCCATCCTACCCGAAGCCTCGCTCTGTGGGAAGCCCTTGATTTGAGTCACATTCATTCATTCAACGGATATTCACTGAGCACCCCCTAGGGGCCAATCTGCTGCTGGGTGCCCTGGAAACAAAACTGAAGGCCCTCCAATCCCTGCCCTAAAAGAATTCATATTGCATGGGAAGAGACAGACAGATACCGGATAATTACAACTGTGACACGTACCCTAACAGAAGCAAAACAGACACAGCGTAAAACAGGGAACGGGGGCCTCTGAGCAGGAACTAGTCTAGGCCAAGGGCCACAGGAAGGACAGCATGGTACAGGGCCAGATGAGAAGAGGAAAATGCAGGGAGGAGGAGAGCAGAGAGGAGGGAAGGAGGGCTGCGGACCAGGCGGGGAACCCAGACTACTGGGCTGGGCTGCGGCCTTGGTGGAGCGAGCAGGTTCCTTACCGAGACCGTGGGCTTGTGGCTCCGCAGCGCGGGCATGGCGCCGGCCGTGCAGGGCCGCGGGGGCGACGCGGGGGCGCTGGGGAGCGGGGGCGCGGGGCCCGCGGGCGGCACGGGGCCGGAGCAGAGGCTCAGCGCCCGGCTGCGGATGCGGTGCAGGAGGGCGCGGGGGCCGGCGGCCAGCGGGCCCTCGGAGAGCCGCCGCCGTGCCCCGGCCAGCTCCGACCTCACGCCGCGCAGCAAGTCCAGCGAGCAGCGGGGATGGCCGGGGCCGGGGCTCGCAGGGGAGCTGGACGGGGGGCTGCAGTGACCTGGCTCTTCCTCGTTGGCAGAGGCGGCTTCTTCGTCGTCGTGGTCCTCGCCCTGGTTCTCTTCCTCCTCCTCCTGGTTAAGCCGCTGCTGGGGTCCGGCCTCAGGGCCCATGTCTGCAGCAGGTGCAGGCACTAGCTCGTGGTCAGGGCCGATCAGCAAGAGCCAGGCGGGAGGGGCTGATGCCATTCCCGCGGCGTCGCACTGGAACGGGCAGGGTCCCCGGACCACGGCCTCCGCCCAGAAGAGCGCTCTCCTCTCCAAGCTGAAGTCGTGCTGCGAGAAGGCGACGTGAGGCTCTCCCGGTGCAAACCAGGCCCAAGGGGCGCACCCCTACCCCCTGGCCCCCAGGGAACCTGTTCGGCCAAAAACTTGCCAGGCCTGGGCAGCTTCCTATTCTAAACTCCAGGCATCCATCACCACCCACCCCCAGCCCCAGTTTAAGCTAGCACTGGGGTCGATGGATAGCCATACAATTGAATGGTTAACTCGGCCTGAAGGACATAATGAGGAATAGGTTAATAGAATGAAATGTAGTGAAATCCAGTATCTAAGTCCCTTTGCCTTTCAGTATGTAATTGAACGATAGCAGCTTAAAAAATGTCTCCGAGAAACCTTGTTCTTAGCAAAGAAACTTTCACTTGAGCCCAGCACCATTTGCCAGTGAAGCACACAAACCTCTGTCTGGAATAATACCTGCCCCCTTCCCCTTTGATGCCATCAGAGGTTACTCTGAAGCCCAGAAAATGTAAAAATCACTAATCTCTGTTAAACTCTACTTAGTACGTTCTAGTGTTATTTCTATTTCCAGACTATGAAAATGAGGCTCAGAATCTTTAATTTGCTGGAGGTCAGATTGGTGTTGAGTGGCTTGAGCTGGGATTCCTCGGGCCACCCGACAGTAGTACTTTCTCAACTACATTATCAGGCCACCTGAAAAAACAATCGGAGCTCACATAAATAATCTAACTTGAGAGTTTAGAAATGAGTAAAAAAAAATTCATCTGTTGCCTACCTTTAAAAATAAGATCCAGAAATACAAAGCTCCGTTAAAAAATGTAAATTGTCTAAAAGGCAATTTCAAGGCTCTGTGATGGCCAATGAAGGAAGAACGAAGGTGGGGGAAGTGGTATTTGTGGGGGGAAGGAGAGGCAGGAAGACAGATACTCAGAGACTGAGATCACAGGCATTGTCCCCTCCTCTCCTGACATGACCCTAGGTTGGGGAGAGGAGCCTAATGTGGCTGTTCCAGCATGGCTCCCTGACTGAGTCAGTGGCCGTGTCTTATTCCTCTCTGCATCCTCAGGGCGCAGGCAGGCCTGGCACAGAGTGGATGCTTGTAAGTATGTGCAGAATAAACGGTTGGATGAAGGGATTGGAGCAAAACAGGCAGGTTGTGAAGGACAGAGGAGGGAAAAAGACCATGTGAGGGGTGATAAGGCAGACGTGGAGAGAAAGAGACTAAGGAGGTTTTGAGACAGCCAGTGGGACTCAGGGGATGAAAAGGTACTGAGACCCAAAACAAATACCAACATTTACGATTTATGGAATGAAGCAAGATGATTCTAAAGTTCGTATGAAAAACAAACAAATCAGAAGAGCCAGAAAAACTCTGGGCACAAAAAGATAAATAGGGGGGACTGGCCCTACTAGCTGTTAAAATATTGTAAAATGACAATAATTAAAACTATGGTGTTGGCACAGATGCAGGTAGAGAATAGGAAGTCCAGAAATAGACTTTAATATCTATGGGGCTTTGGTAAATAATAAAGGTGGCATTTCAAGCAATGGGAAAAAGAGAGACTAGTCAATAAATGGTGTTAGCTAGCTGGAAGAAAATGAAGTTGGATCCATTCTTATGTTATACACAAGGATTAATTACAAAAGGATCAAAAATTCAAATGTATGATATGAAACCATAAAAGTACTAGGAGAAAAGCAGAAGAGACATGCTTTATAACCCCAAGTGCGGAAAGCCTTTCCAGAAGCCATAAAAGTACAGATACACACATGTGCAAAATCTGCACGGCAAATATACCACAAGAAGCAAGGTCAAAGACAGATGACAAACTGGGGGGAAAACAGCACTCACAGCAGAGATGAAGGGCTAAATTTACTAATACAGCAAGTGCTAGAAATAGATTGGAAAAAGACCAACAGTTCAACGGGAACATGAGCAAAAGATATGGACAGTCCACAGAAGAGAGCCACACAGATGGCTTCTAAACACATGAAGAGTTCCTCAACTTCACTCGTGATAAGAGAAAGGCAAATCAAAACTACCCTGAGATACCATCCGCCTATCACTCTACAGGCCTCTTGTAGAGTGCTGGCTGGGATGGAAATCAGTATGACCCCTACGGAGGGCAATTTGGAAAAATACTTAAATTCAAAAGGACATGTGCATATCGTCATTCCCTGCAGCATTGTTTGTCATGGCAGAAGCCTAGGAAGAACTCAAGTGTCCATTCAAGAAAGTACAATATATCCATGTAATGCAATGCTACACAGTGAAAAATGAAACTGAAGAAGCTTTTTATGTACCGATATAGAAAGATCTTAAAATATATGAGATAAAAAAGTCAGGAATAACAGTGTATATAAAATGCTACCTTTGGGGTAAAAAGGGAGGAAATAGCTGTACTTGCATGTCTCCACACACATAAGCATCCCTGGAAGAATACATAGAAAATGAGAAACAGATACCCCAGTGAGGGTTGGAGCTGGAGAACTGGATAGATGGGAAAGTGTCAGTGGGAGGCTGTTCGCTCTCCCAAGGCCTTCAAGCTGCTTGTGGGCCACACTGACCACCCCCCTTGCTTTTGTACATAAAGTGTTACTGGAACATGGCCCTATCCACCCACTCCTTTCCAGAACTATGGCTTTTTCCCTAGAGCAACAGAGTTGAGTAATTGCCAGTTTTTACTACCTGATCTTTTACAGAAAATATTTGTCAACCCCTGCTCTATACCCTTTTGTAAGCCTTTTCTTTCTTTTTATTTTCATTTTTAAACTATGCGAATGTATTTTTCTCTAAAAATATTTTTTTGTTAGGGCAATTCACTCTAATTAAAGGGAAACTATGAAACAATCAAACACAGACTTGCCAAGGCTTTAAGTGTGGAAGGAAGGGTGAAGGCAGCAGGGTGGGTGGGGCAGACATGGGCTTTGGGGTCTGACAGACATGTGTGGGAATCCTGCCTGCGTCACTCACAAGTACATCAGTTGGGTGACAGCTTTGGTTTCCTGTGCCGTGGGGTAGGAACACATGCCTGCTAAAAGGGTTATCAGAAATATGAGAGAGAAGAGTGAATGTACACAGAGCACCTAAGCACGGGCCTAGTGCACAGCAGGTACTCAATACTGGTAGCTATGATTATTACTTTTTCCCTTTAGACCATTGTTCTAAACTGTCCTAGGTTCACCTGGTAATCTAACCACTATCTGTAACATCGTTGTTATGGGGAAATGTATTCCAGGTTTCAAACACTGGGAATACAGCCCGATGAACTCAAGAGGACTTACCAGGAGAGGCTGTAAATCATACTTGGAGTCTTATGCTTCTCGGTTTGTTAGATTGGCCCAGCAGTGAGAGAAATGGAGGCCCAGGAAGGGAAACAGGCTCCAGGGAGTACAGATACCCTCGCTGAGAGTAGTGGGCAGAGCTAGGGTCAGTACCTGGGCCAGGACACCAGACATGGACTTGGCAGAAAGGTGCCCAATTCTGCTCCTAAGAAAACTAACTTTCCGGATAACTTCTTCCTGGCTTGGCCTGAGCTCAGCGGGGAGGGAAAAGCTGTGATAATCCACCTCCACTGGAGCTTAGCCAAGCGAATTCCTCTGCCCAACGACACAGGCCCACAGCGAAGGCTGCCTGGGAAAAGTGACTATGGGCCCCTGGACACTGTGCTCTGGGTTTTACAGAGCTGATTTCCCTTCGGGAGACCTTGGTCCTAAGGGTCTGCGGATAAAGCAAAATGGCACTGAGTCTCCTGCTCCTGGGCCCCCGAGCCACTCAAGCCCCTTCCTCCTTCGTGGATTGTACTTTCTGCACCTGACTTCCTGCAACCCGGTTTTCTGCCGAGGAACCTCACCCGTCCAGTGTCTCACACTCCCATCCTGCTCTGAGCTAATACGCAGCGATTTGGAGTTAAGACCTGGGGTTTAGTCTTGCCATTGCCACTAACGTTGGACAAACCATTTCCCTTCTCTGGACTTCAGGTTCCTTGTGTGCAAAATGAGTGAGGGCCGCCCTAGATCCTCAGAACTTTTTACAAAGTACCCTGCAGACAGTGGAGAAAGAGCACGTAAGACTCTGAGAGGCCCGACACCAGTTCCACAGTTTTTGGCAATCTTGTTCTTTCATTTGTAAAAATTCATGTGAATTCTGCATCCTATCTCATGATCTATCGGTGTTATAATACAAATGCAATAGGTTTCCCCCTAAACCTCCAAGTAAACTTGACTCTCATGTTTATCTTGAGGGTGTGTGATACCAGATACCACTGCATTCACTGGGCGCATATCCCAGTGTGTGAACTGTGGGGCATGAGGTGTTTCAAGGGCGCCTCCAGGGCAGATGTGCTTTGGGTCTATGGAACAGTAATACCTTCTAATGTGTCTCATCTAACTGCATTTTAACAGAGGATTCTAGAGATAGTGTCTTAGTTCACAGGAGTGATTCTAAATGGTAGAATTTTAGACATGGCAGCAGGCTGACAGGGAAAAGAGGAATTGGAGTATCCTTGCAATGATTCTCAGTCACTTCCTATAGGCAGCTTCCTATTATCCTAATCATTTTTAAAATAAGACCCACCAAATAATCCCCATCACCAGCCTTCTTCATGAAACACCTTTTCCCCTTGGGTTATTTCCAAAACTTTCTAGAATATACCACAGATGGGCTTGCTGCCATTTATGTATGTATGTAGGTACATATGTATGTATGTATGCATGTAGGCTCCACACCCAGTGTGGAGCCCAACGAGGGGCTTGAACTCACAGCCCTGAGATCAAGACCTGAGCTGAGATCAAGAGTCAGATACTTTAACTGACTGAGCCACCCAGGCACCCTGGCCTTGCTGCCCTTTAAAATCAAGGAACAAGGCCTATGAGTCTCAGCATCAGATCTACAGACCCAGAGACAAGAGACAGATGGACAGAGAGATACACTTACCATAGAACCCAGCAGAAGCTCCCTGCAGGCTGGGACACTGAGCTCTGGCCCAGGAAGGGGCTCTGTGCCTATCACAAAGCCATTGGGCACCTTGAAGGGGATGCCATCGAGGGCATTCATTCTGTCAGAGGAGTGTGGAGATGGCTGAGGGCAGGCTGCCTGGTGGCAAGGAGAAAGCGTAGACCTGAGGACCAGGCTTGGTCTCAGATGGCCTCACCACTTTCCTGTGTGCTGACTTAGCTGAGCCCACACAGCCAGGAAAGAAAAGGTAAAGTGGCTGGTCCTGCATAGGGAGGAAATAAATAAAAACGAGAGCATTCAAACTGACAGGAATTGAGTATTGCATGTTTAAGTTTTGTTCTAGACCACTGTTTCCCAAAATGTGGCCTACAAAACTCGTCCTAAAGCATGTCATCAAAAAAGTTTCCAGCCAAACATGTAAGGGAAAAAATGTCAAATTATACAAACTATTCCATAAAAGAACTATTTCCTAACTCGTTTTGATTTCAGCACCACCTTGATACCAAATCTGACAAAATTAAAGGCCAATCTCTCATAAACGTAACTGCAAAAATCTCAACAAAAATAACTATGTATAGAAAAATACAACACTGCTGGCTTGAGGGTTGAGTTTATTTCAGGAATAAGAGACTGGCTTAATATTCCAAAATCAATCAGTGGGAATAAAGATAAACGTCAATAGAATAAAAGTGAAAAATTATATGATTATTTTTGTAGATGCAGAAAAAGCACTTGATAAAATCAATACCCATTCATGATTTTAAGAAAAAAACAATTAGCAACTTAGGAAGAGAAAGAAATTTCCTTAACTTAATCAAGAATATCACTAAAATATCTAAAGCAAACATCCCACTTAATGGTGAAATACTGAAAGATATCCCCAAGACTGGAATTGAGACAAGGATGTCCCCATCATCTCTTCTGTTCAACATTGTACTGGAGGTACTAGCCTGTTCAAAAAGAGAAGGAAAAAAATATATATATATATATAAGGATTGGAAAGAAAAAATAAAACTACCATTATCTGTAGATGACATATATAGAAAATCCAAAGGAATCTATGAATAAAACTCTTAGAATTAGTAAGTTGATTTAGCAAGGTCATTGGGTATAAGGTCGATATATAAGAATCAACTATATCTCTATATATAAACAACAAACAATGTAAATTTTGTCTTTTAAAAAGGTCATTAGAGGGGCACCTGGGTGGCTCAATTGTTAAGCATCTGCCTTCGGCTCAGGTCAGGTCATGATCCTGGGGTCCTGAGATCAAGCCCCGTGTCAGGCTCCCTGCTCAGCGGGGAGCCTGCCTCTCCCTCTCCCACTCCCCCAGCTGTGTTCCCTCTTTCCCTGTGTCTCTCTGTCAAATAAATAAATAAAATCTTTTTAAAAAAATGTCATTAGAGGGGCGCCTGGGTGACTCAGTCGTTAAGCGTCTGCCTTCGGCTGGGGTCATGATCCCAGGGTCCTGGGATCGAGCCCCGCATCGGGCTCCCTGCTCCACGGGAAGCCTGCTTCTGCCTCTCCCACTCCCCTAGCTTGTGTTCCTTCTCACTGTATCTCTGTCAAATAAATAAATAAAATCTTTAGAAAAAAATTTTTTTTAAAAATTAAAAAATGTCATTAGAGAAAAAAATTTTAAATAAGGTACCATTTCATATTATCAATCAAACACCTAGGACTCGACAAGTTGGGTTACATTAAAGAACTTCCATTTATCAGAAGATACCATTAAGCGAGTAAAACAACAATGGAACAAAACAAAAATAAACAAACAACAAAAGACATAAACCAGAAGGGGGAGAAGATATTTGCAGCACATGTATCTGACCAAGGATTCATACCGGATATATACAAAGAACTACAAAGCAATAAGAAAAAGACCTACTACAAAAATAGGCAAGAGATGTTAACAGGCACTTCATGAAAGAGGATATCCAAATAAACCTCAAAGTTGTTTAACCCCATTAGCCGCCAGGAAAATGCAAAACAAAACAATGAGATACAAACACACACACACGCACAAATTGTTAAAATTAAAAAAAAAAAAAGCCTGACAATATCAAGGGTTGATGAGGATGTGGACATCTGGAACTCTCCTGCACTGATGGTGAGAAAGTCAATTAGCATTAGTCAATTAGCTGAAATCTAAGAATTAAAAATTAATTCATACATAGCTTCTGGGCCTTTTGGCTAAGAGCAAGTATGTATGCTAGTTTAATAATATTCACAACAACCAGGGATTTTATTTGCTAATGTATTCTAAACCAGATTAAAGAAAGATTCTGACCACATTCTGGCATTTTGCATCCAGGGCTTATCAGGGAGCTGCACCAGGGAGTATCTCTGGCTTAATACAATGTCATCCCTACCAGGATGTTGCAAAGCCCTGTTGCGAGGGGTCACTGGGGTCATCCCCATGCCTACAGGGGAACATCATGTGAAGAGGCAGAGTAAGTAATCTGAGTGCAGAGAGGTCAAATGAAGCCAGATGGGCAAATCCTTTAATTCCCTCATCTCTGCTGTCTGCCCACTCTTGTCTGTGTTTTACTGTATGTAAGACTCAAAAGGCTTCTCCATCCCATGCCAGGAGTTTGCCAGCACACTGGGAGTGGCTCTCTACGCTACAGGATCAGCCAAGTCCCAGTGTGATCAGTAAGTTGTCTGCCCCATCAGCCTGTTCCAACAGGGGACCTCTGAAGCATAGGGAGTTGTAGGGGACATAGGAAAGTTAGCAAGTTTTGGCATTCTCAGATTGATCATTCACATTCTCAGCTATCATTAGAATTCTGAGCTATGGGGGAGGACCATAGTTTTGTTGAGACCCACGTGTGAATTGCCTGTCCACTGAGCAGGTACAGGGCCACCCTCTTCCTCCCTCACCTCTGACCCAGCATCTGCATCCTAATAGATACTCTTTACTCAGCTCTACACTTGTTTCTGGAGTAATTTAAGAGTTTGAGGATTCTGGAAACACCTCTCTTAAGAATAGCAAGGGCTACAGTGTAAGACATAATCTAGTTAGGACATACTCTAAAATGACAGTCATCTCTGCTAAACAGAAAATGAGAAGTACAAATTATGAAGTGATGATATTCTTCAAAGGAAAGAAAGTATTTTAGGCCTTATGGGGATTGGGGAAGCTTCAGCAAGGATGGGACCTTCAGGGTAGGGGAACGGCCTTTGAGCAGGAAAAAGGTAGAGTGGAGAGCGTAACTCCTGCTTGAGATAGGGAGCAGAGGCAGGGCAGAGTGCGGGGGAGACCAGCTGTGTGACTCAAGTAGATAGTTTGTGCTGGGAAGCAGCCTGCAGTAAGACTGAGATTGGGGTAGAGCTGGGGAGGGCCCTGAATACTGACTCCATTCAGTAGACGGTGGAGAAAGCCCCGAAGAATCTGAAGGCGTGGGCTGAGGGTAGGGGAGTAGGGATACTGGCAAAGCCAGTCTGTGCATGCTTCAGCAGGCTGCATAATCCAGGACCTCTCCATGGGTCTGTGCTCATTTGGCTGAATCAGAGCCTAGGGGTGAGAGGCAGGGCAAGTGGGGGTGGTGGTAACTGGTCTACATGGAGCCCAGGCACTGACATTAGTACTATTTTTTAAAGATCTCCATTGTACTCTCTAAATGACTTCATCTTTGTCCATAGTGTCAGTAATCTATGTGCCGATGATTCACATATTAAATTCTCCAGTTCTTCTCTGAGATCAAACTCCTAAACACAACTGCCTACAAGGCATCTCTTCCAAGATTGTCCTCAAGGGTGCCTCAGACGCTACATATCCAAAGTGAATTCCTGGTGTTCCCCTCCCCCAAACTGTTCCTCCTCCTCCAGGATTCCTTTGTCTCAAGGGAGGTCTAAGGTATACAGAGGACTCCTGCCCGACACTTTCTTCCCCTGCACCACTGCCCATCTCAAATCCCTGCCACGTTTTCTCTCTTAAATCTCTGGAATCTAGGCATTTCATGCTACCTCCACTGCTAACATGGGAGTCCAAGCCCCCATTATCTCTCACTTGGACAACTGGTGTCCACGTATCCTCTTACGTCCTAATGTTATAATTCTGTTTCATATACTGGGACAAAAGTGATCCTTTCAAAACAGCAAACTAAGCCAGTTTCCTGCTTAAAAGCCTCCAATGGTTCCCAGCTGCTCTCAGAATAAAAACCAAACTCCTGACAAAGGCTTCCAAAGCCTTGCAGTGTCTGGCCCCTACTACCTCCCCTCCTGTCTTACTCTAGCCATGCTAGTCTTCAATTGCCTTGGTCTCTTGGACCAACACAGGCCCTTTGCATATGCTATTCCAAATTTTTGCTACCTTCTTCTTTGTCTCTTCTGTACTAGTTTATAGCTGTTCATTTTTCACAGCTCAGCTGAAATATCATTTCCTCAAAAAAGCTTTTCCTGATCCAACCCCCAAACTTGGGTAGATCTACCCAGTACAGTGGCTTTTAAGATTTTTTTATTGTGACCCATAGTATGAAATTCATTTGACTTTGTGACCTAGCATAGACATATGTAAACTGAATAACAATTCTTACCTCTACTATATGATATATAGATATTTTCCATTTCACCTAAATGCATTACAGAACTCAAAAAAAAAAGGGGGGGGCCTAATCTTATAGAACCATACCTTTCCTTCAAAGCACTCAGCACATTTTTTATGACTGTTGGATCAATTAACTGGATATTAATCTATCCTCCTCAAAACCTGTATGAGGGAGTATTTGGTATTTTGTTCACCATTCTAGCCCTCATACTTAGCAAATTCATCTGAGCCTTAACAGGCATTTAATAAATATTTGAACAATGGAAAATATAAATCATGACTAACCACTTTTTCTTTGTAGTAGGTATCACAATTGTAACTATCTGTATAATTAAGCTTCTCTACTCTAGATTCTAACTCCAGGAGAGCAGAAATCCTGTCTTTCTGCTCCTTTTTATGTCTCCAGCATTTAATATAGTTCCTGGCAAATGGTAAAAACAACTTCTCAAGAACACAGTTCAAGTCCTGGTATCCATATTCTGGCAAGCATGGAGTTAAAGAAGTTGAGAGGTATCTACTGCTCTGCACAGTTATGCACTCTAGCACCAACTGCCTCAGAGACTGATCCTTGCTTCAGAGACTATGAGAAACTCAGTTGATTCCAACAAGCAAATGGAACCTACACTGGAAACAAATTCTTCATAAATAGCCCGATGTGCTAAGTCAGGAATTACTGCATGCGCGTATCCAAAAGTTAACAGTTAGGGGTGCCTGGCTGGCTCAATCAGAAAAGCATGCGACTCTTGTTGATCTCGGGGGCATGAGTTGGAGCCCCATGTCGGTGTAGTGATTACTCAAATAAGAAACTTTAAAAAAAGTTAACAGTTAATTATACAGGAATAGTTTATTGGTTGTAAGCATTAAAAGAAAAAAAAATTTGGTTGGAAATGCCTCATGTAATCTCTAGTCCCTAAAATATATCACTGCTCATACTTCATAGCACCCACATTCCTTCTATATATTCTGTATTATTTGAATGGAACAAAACATACTTTGTACTTACCTTGTGACTCCCAGGATAGCTTCCCTGTGGACAAAACATGTAGAAGTAAATTGCTACAACCGATGATATAATCCCAGCTAAGCTTCTTGATACACTCTTGCACAAGTCACATGGACACAGGAACATGAATGGGTTTAGAGCGATTACCTTGACTGGCTTGTAGCAAATCCTTTGGCATCATAAACTCAGCCACTTGGGCTGAACACTCTTAGTATTTAACATATAAACTAATCTCTTTATTTCATTTTCTAGTGTTTCTTATACTTCTTAAAAACAAATGCTTTGTGTTACAGAGTATCTCACAAATCCAGGGTCTCCTCTACTGGGAAATAAGACAAACAATATTCTTATATACAGGACATGATGAATCAACACATTTCTTGTTAATCTTTGAATGAGTTTCTCTATTTTCATTAATTTATGTTCAATATAAAAATATAGGTATAAAAAAAACATGATTTAGGAAAGGTCTGCCGGCTCAAAAGGACCGTAGTTCCTAGTTCTGACTGAAAAGCATAAAAGCCAACTAACAAGAACCAACAAGAACGATGGCCACCCCTATCACGCAGAATGTGGTGTATAAATACCTTTTCCACTGAACAGGAACCAGGGGTCATTGGAGAAATGACTGCTTCCAGGTTTGGGATAGGAAATGTGAAAGACAAACTTAGAACAGAATACTGGAATTGAGTGGGAATTCAGGAACTGAGTTAAAGGGGCTTCCACTGACCAAAGGTGAGGCAATTGATGAAGAAAATACTAACAATGGGTTGGAAGACAAGTATGTTTAGATCTGAGTTCATGATACTTAAAATTCACTGGTCACCTTTGGAGGATGCAAGGGGTCCAGTTCATTATTTTGAAAACTAGTAAAAAAAAAAAGGAAATACTTATTTGCCTTTCCTGTACAAATTATACCCTAGGGTAACCAAATGATTGATGAGGGGATGTTTCTCTTTTTAGAAGTATTCCAGCTGGGGCAAATGGGTGGCTCAGTCTGTTAAGGGTCTGCCTTCCGCTCAGGTCATGATCCTGCGGTCCTGGGATGGAACCCTGCATCAGGCTCCTTGCTCAGCGGGGTACCTGCCTCTCCCTCTGCCTGCTGCTCCCCCCTGCTTGTGTGCTCTCTGACAAATAAATAAAATCTTTAAAAAAATTCCAATCTATACGTGGTCAAGAAATGTGTACACTCTTGATCAGTGCTGTCCAGTAGAAATATGTGATCCATGTATGTAACTGTACATCTCAATTCAAACTCAATTTCAATTCAAATTCTCAATTTCAATGTAGACATGTATGGCATTTAACCCCAGGTGGAAAAAAACCATTCCCTCTTTCCTCGTGCCCAATAGCCATATATGTCTACCCTACTGGACAGTACAGCTCTAACCACTAAATCATAGGAAATATGGAGAAAGAGGAACATACTGTCACAAGAATGCAATTAGTAAAATCCAGACTGGAACCTCTTCAGGAAAAAGTGACCCAATTTCTTCAAGTAATAAATTGTAAGGGAGAGACAGTACAAGAGTACAGAGGAAGAAGAAAGACCTACAGATTATCAGAAACTTGAGACATCATCAACCAGTAACAATGTATGGATTGCATCTAGAAGCTAATTTGAACAAAATGTAGAACACATTTATGAGATACGGAGATCTGAATACTGACTGGGTATTTGATGATATTAAGGAGTCATTCATTTCTTCCATTGCAATAATGGCACTATGGTTAAGTTTTAAAAATATCTTTTAGGGCGCCTGGGTGGCTCAGTTGGTTGAGCGACTGCCTTCGGCTCAGGTCATGATCCTGGAGTCCCGGGATCGAGTCCCGCATCGGGCTCCCTGCTCGGCGGGGAGCCTGCTTCTCCCTCTGACCCTCCCCCCTCTCATGTGCTCTCTCTCTCTCTCATTCTCTCTGTCTCAAATAAATAAATAAAATCTTTAAAAAAAAAATTTTTTTTTAATTTAAAAAAAATAATAAAAATATCTTTTAGAGCTACACATACTAAATACTTATGAATATAATGTCTGGGATTTGCTTCAAAATAATCCAGAGTGGTGGGGATACAGATAAAACAAGATTGGCTATGAGTTGACAGTTATTTGAAGCCAGATGATGGGTATATGGAAAAAATTATACTATTCTCTTTACTATTCAATGTTGGAAATTTTCCATGATAAATTTAAAAAGGCTGTGGTTAAAGATTATGATGACACTGTCTGTATTCTCAGAAGTACAATTCGTTAAAGACACTATGTCTTTCCTTCCAAACCCATTAAGAACCAGCAGCTGCTGCCCCTACCACCACGCAAGGCAATAAACCAGGAAAAACTTCTAAAACAAAACCAAACAAACGACAAAAATAATGTTTACTTTATTAAAACTTTGCCGAAGCTGAACAAGGAAAGAGGGAATGTTTTTTTTCCACCTGGGGTTAAATGCCCCTTGGGTTCTGAGTTTTCCTCAATCTCTGCTTCACACTCTTGCTCCCAATCAATGCAGATGTCTTAGTGACAAGGCTGCCTGGATACTGAACACATCATACAATTCATCTTTTATTTCTACTCTTTTGCAGCTCATCAGAGCAAATGGTGGAGATTTATAACAAAAGGACACACAGGCTTATGGGGTTATGTGAGGCTAATCACATTAGATTTTAAGGTTTATGAGCTTAGGCATACACTTTGGAGTGCTGGCCCCCATATCCTATCCGTTAACTCTGAAATGCAGAATATATAAATTTAACAGTGCAGATTCAACAGAAAAAGAACAAAGGTGTTAGCATGCTACACCCCAGAGCTTCCGACCACATGAAATCATTTCCAAAGTTGGTGTCCTTTCCTGCTTACCTAGAGTTAGATTCCACAAAGTTTGGTGCCTGAGGTTCACCTCCCTATAGCAAATGTCTATTTCACAAATTTGCATTTTGGAGTGAAAATGTGTTTCATCAGTGTGAAAGTGTGTGCAGTGATTTGGTAAGGAACAAATTTGGGGGCAAAGGCTCAAGCTAAAAAATAAAAATGGTATTTATTCAGCTTTTTGGAAATATAAATAACACAACAGATGACAAAGAGCAAAACAAAACAAACCCGACATGTTATATGATCAATCACTTCCAGGCACAACAGCATTTATTAATGAATATAAAAAAATAAATTTGATTTTATTTTTATCTGCTTTCCTCCCAGCTTTAACTACATAGGTGTTTTTGGAAGCTTGAGTTTCTAAGAAAATTCCACAGCTATACCGGCCCCTACAACATGACTGAGTGAGGTTACGGTCCCACTCCCATAGGGAAATAAATGTCTATCATTGGGGATTCTGAACATCTAAGACCTCCAGGAACTTAAAAAACAGGTGTTTTTGTTAGGATCCTTCTCACATGGGAAAATGCAGCCATTATCCATTAAACCACAATCCAATGTTCTCCGCAGGACTACCAGACTAGGCCACTGAGCTTTTCTGGCAGCCTTGCCTGGAGCCTCTCAAGTTGCACCAAAAGTGGGAGTCACAGAACCAAAGATAAGGCATTTCTGACCTTTCCTCCTAGAAGTCAGAGAGTTCTCTGGGTAGGGAGGGTAAGGAGGTTTTGCATCAAGCCTGCCTTCACACTCAGTACTGGGGGAAGGGCTGCTAAGTCTACCCAGTGCACACTTGCGTTGAGTGTCTGGAGTGTACTTACCCATCACCACACAAGGCAGTTAAGAGTAAATTAGCATGTCACCCTGTACCAAGCCCCTTCAAAACAGAGGCAAATTTGGTGAACCAAGGCTACTGCCTGTGATAATAACCCCAGTTCACCTAGGTCCTTTCCTGAAGAACCATATTAATCTCCTGATTCAAGAGGCATCTCTGGCCAGGACAGAGCACGCAAGGAAAACGTAACTTCTGGGTAGGGCAATGCCACACGGAGTTTAGAGGTTGTGGTTTAGTCTACAGCACAAGAAGATGGTGGCATCACTAGTATTTAGAGCTGGAAAGAGCCTTTGCTGGACCACACTCCTGGAGCATCTTTACTAATGCAGCTTAATGGCCGTTGCCCAGATGTCGTTGCTGGGGAGCGGGGGAAGGACCCATCCTTGGGGAACGGAGTTGCCTTTGGGATGATCAGATGGCACCAGGTACTGATCCCAATCATGCCTTAATAAGAACATTGTAGAACAACTGTTTATTTCTGTTTTATTCCAAGCAAGATGTTCAGCAACTAAATATTCTATTTCAGGACTTAGCTTTCAAATGACTGACGTACTAGTCCACTAAAGAACTTGACTTCTAGGCATTATGCAAAAAGACTGTATTTCTTAAATGTACATATGAAGGGCAAAAAACTGCAAAGAACTTACAATCTTATGGATAACCAAATAATATACAGTTGATCCTCATTATTTGCAGGTTCCACGTTTGCAAAGTTGCCTATTCACGAAAATTCGTCTGTAACCCCACAATCATTACTCGTGGTGCTTTCGTGGTCACTTGCCAACATGCACGGAACAATGAAAAATCTGAGTCCCTGACAGGCCCATTCCCACCTGAGGTTGAATAAGGTGACACTGTCTTCTTGTTTTCAGCCTCACACTGTAAAGAAGTGTCCTTTCTACAGTCTATTTAGCACCACATTTTCCACATATTTGTGCTTTTACTGGTGCCTCTGCTTTATGAGACGGCCCCCAGGTATGCTGCAGTGCTAGCTAGCATGAGAAGGCTGGCGTGTGTCTTACGGAGAACACATGCTTGCTAGAGAAGCTATGTTGAAGCAGGAGTGACAGTGCTCTTAGCTAGGAGTTCAAAGCTAATAAATCGACAATATATATTAAATAAGGTGTTTTTAAAAAGAAATCCACGTAAAACGATGTTATATATTGATCGGTTGATGAAAACGTTGTGGCTTCAGGCTCACAGGAACCTAACCCTGTATTTCTTTGAGGGGTAGCAGCCCAGTATTCTCTAATTCAGTACATGCAGCTTTACAGAACATAGCTACTGTGAATAATGAGAATCTACTGTACTTATATACAAAGAGACAAAGCTAAAACTTGTATGTTAGCCAGAAATATACTTTTCCCAGAACACAAACTTGGTATGCTAAAAAGCATCATTAGAGCTATAGAAGGAACCTGAGAGATCACTTAGTCCAGTGATTTTCAAACCAGGCTTTCAAGACCGCTAGGCCCCAAGCAGATGTTCTGGGGAATCTAGGAAACAACAAAGTGCTTCCAGTCAGTAACAGATTTGAAGTGCCTACGGAACCCACTCATTCCAACTATTTACAAATGTATTTTCAGAAGACTGTCTTTGGGAAGAACGCTACTGCTGAAGTCTGAAGGCCACGTTCTAGTCCATCATTTGCATTTTGTAGGTGAGGAAAGTGAGACCCAGACAGCTGAAAACGGCCCAGCTCATTAGTAACGGCTGATTAAGATGAGATTCCTTGTTCCTAGCTCTCCTGGCTTTGACCTATAGGAACTCACAAGCTGGTATGGGGCTTAAACAGCCTCCACAGGCAAGTAGGCAGGGAGGGTTTCCTTCCCTTGGTCTGTTTAGCAGCAGAAGAGAATTAGGAAAAGGAAGCCAATGCTTTAAGTCAATACAACAGCTATAGCATGAGACAATACTTGTTGGGCAAATCACAACCTGAGTTTCAGTTTCTTCACCTGTTAAAACAGAGACATCTACTTCTCAAGGACTGAGGACTAAAGGCCATGTGTGGCATCCTTAGAACCTAGAAACTTTACATAAACCAGTAAGAAATAAAAAAAAAAGAGAGAGATAGCAATAGACCTCAACAACACAAGCACCTCAAGTGCTTCTTGCTACCCAAGGGGAAGGCAACATGGAGAGAGTGCCCCTCTGACCTTATCTGGATGAGTGCTGGCAGGGAGTGCTCGGCTTGGAGGTAATACTGTCGGAAGGGTTGCAAGAGGTGAGCGAGAGGGAACTCATCTGAAAAAGACAAGACATGTTACCACATCATCATACTTCATATCTAGAGTGTATTTCTCAATGCAAGCTGACTGAGCTTAGGACTATGACAATATGACAATGTGATCAAATATTTCATCTTTATCCATTTCACAGTACACAGTACACAGTTTAGAATTTCAAATCTTGAAGGTGCCATTTGCTGCTTAGCTTAGGTTGAGATCATCCATGAGGAAAAAGAGCTGCCAATCTAGTATTTTCCTTTTCTCCCCTGGTTACAGAGGAACTTACCTGGATCCCCAAATAACTTGGACTCAATTTCACGCTTCTGAAGTAAAAATTTCTCTTTTTCTTTCCTCTGTTTCTTTTCTAATTCTCTTTTCCTCTCTTCCTCTTGTTCTCCTTCCAACATGACTCTGAGGGCTCTCTCTTCAGCTTCGTATAATTCAGAGCGTTTTTTAATGAGTTTTCTTAGTCGCTGAAGATGATGCTCAAAAGTCTCATCTGCTGAGGCTGGAGGACAGACCCCTAGGAAGAGATCCAAATGGCATTTTAGATAAAACTTTTTATCCCCAAATCTATGTTCTAATAAGAGTCTCAAAGTCCTACTTACATTATGAATTTGCAAATTCTAACCCATCTTCAAGGCTCAATTTGATCTTGAGTCTCCAATTAATCTGACCCCACCCTGACTTTCCCTAACTCCTCTCTCTGGATCATACCACTTAACCTGAGTTTATTTCTAATGGCTTTGATCCTTTGGGCTGTGAGCTCACTAGAGAGAAATATCTTATACTTCTTCACTCTGATATTCCCATAGCACAGGCTCCCAGGCTCAACTAATAAACAATTCTCCTGCTAACAGAGTCTGAAGTTCTGGGAGAACACACTTGGTTAATAAGGAAGAAATACATAACCAACCACACTGACCTCACAGTCTGCTGCTTAGTGTAGAGTGACCAAATATTTCATTTTGCCCAGTTTTAGTATTGAAAGCACAGCATCCTGGGAAACCTGGGATGGTTAGTCACCCTGATTTAAATGTGAGGTCAGCTAATAGGATAGGCAACATAGCTAGTGCCACAATTGGGAAAATTTGATTACAGACTAGTTAGTAGGTGATATCAGACAATTATTACTAATTTTGTTATGCGTGATAATGGCATCATAGTTGACTATGCCTATTTTATTTAGGTGTTCTATTTTTGTGCATGAGTGAGTTTTTTAAAAAGATTTTTTATTTATTCATTTGAGAGAGAGAAAGAGAGAGAAGGAGTGGGGGGGCGGTCAGAGGGAGAGGGAGAGGGAGAGGGAGAAGCAGACTCCGCACGGAGCAGGGAGCCCAATGAGGGGCTCGATCCCAGGACCCCAGGATCATGACCTGAGCCGAAGGCAGATGCTTAACTGACTCTTGATTTCGGCTCAGGTCATAATCTCAGGGTCAGGAGATCAAGCCCTGAGTCAGTCTCCACACTGAGTGTGCTTCTCCCTTTCCTCCTTCTCCTCCCCTGGCTTGTGCTCTCTCCCAAGTAAACAAACAAACAAACAAACAAAATCTTTAAAAAATTTTCATAAGGAAAATGTTTTAAAATTTAAGGAACACTTGAATGGGGCGCAGCTGTGCACTCACTACCACACGGCCCTGCGATAGAAAAGCTGCTGAAGCTGCTGGTGATTCATCCTGGAGTGATGTGGGTGTTGGCCATCCTGTTAGTTCTCAAAGATTTTAAAAGCAAATGTACTTATTATGGAAGCATCTTAACAATACCAGATACAAGGAAGAAAAAAATTCGAACACCATGAACATAATCAACCATTTTTATTTCCCCCTGTTGAGCCTGCAGTCATTTTTTTCATCCATACATTAGCAACGTCACATAGTTCAACATAATATGTGGAATTTCTACATCTCCATTTCAATTCTCTATATTCTTCTCCAGTCTTTATAATTATTGAATGGCTCTATTCCTCTTTCATCAAATCAATGTACCATAATTTACTTAACAAGCTCCCTACTCCTCGACACTTAGGCTGTTCCAAATGTCCTATTATCATATACTGTTATTGGGCATGTTACTTTTTTCCTTCTACAGATTATTTCTGTAAGATAAATCCTCAAGAGAAGAAATGTTTATGAGTACTTCCAGGATCGCCTAAATGTGGTACTAAACTGCTTCCTAAAAGAGCTGATCGAGGCCTTTGGAGGTCTGATTCTTTTCTCCTTCAACCATCGCCACTAAGTGGTTGTGGAATTCGCTCTCCTATCTTCACCTCCAAGGCTAACATTTCTCCAGGTCATTTTCTCATGACTGCTTTGCTTGAACAGGTTTCCAATCACTCAGTCCCAACTATAGAAACTCTACAACTCAAATCCATCTTCTACTAAGTTGCCAACTATTTTCCAAATACACACAAAATTCTTATGCAGTGAGAAACTCAAGCTGTCACTACCCTGTTTCGTAATAATTTCATGATTGTTTTTTTTACCTAGACCAGGAATTGGCAAACTTTTTCTGTAAAGGGCCAGATAGTACTAAAATCTGCCAGTACAGCCAAAATACAGACACCCCATCAGCCCCAAAGTGCCCCCCCAAGACCCCAAGAGGAATGGTGGCCTGCCCCCATCTCACGCTGCTGGGCCTGCACCACGAACCCACGCCTCCATCAACCTTTCAATGATCAGTTCTGATCTCCATGATACATTCCCTCAGAAATGGCAATCCTCACCCAGTCTTTCTCTTGACCCCAAGTACTGACATGGTTTAGGTTCCCTCTGCCTCTCCCACTCACTTCTCTAGCTCCTGCAGCTCCTACATACCAATGCCTTCTTTTCCCTTCAGCCCCCCACACCTTAGGGCCTTGTCTGGTCTTTTTTTTTTTTTAAAGATTTTATTTTTTATTCATGAGAGACAGAGAGAGAGAGAGAGAGAGAGAGAGGCAGAGGGAGAAGCAGGCTCCCAAGGAGCAGAGAGCCTGATGCGGGACTCAATCCCAGGACCCTGGGATCATGACCTGAGCCGAAGGCAGACGCTTAACCATCTGAGCCACCCAGGCGCCCAACCTTGTCCGGTCTTTGAACCTTGGCATGGTGAGAAAAAATCTGCTACCTCTAAAGTCTTAAGCATGATTTTTTTCTGACTAGGACCTTCTACCCTCCCAGAAGGAGTGGAGGGGGAGCGGTCAGAGGGAGAGGGAGAAGGAGACTCCGCACCAAGCAGGGAGCCCAATGAGGGGCTCAATCCCAGGACCCTGGGATTATGACCTGAGCCGAAGGCAGATGCTTAATCGACTCTTGATTTCGGCTTATCTCCTTCCTGGAGACTGTCGGCTTCACTAAAACCTCCAAGTGAATGTATCCAAATCCACCCCCCTTCTACTCATCCTCACCACAACTTATGGTCACTCTTAAAGCAAAACCCTAACAGCCCAAAGCTCACCTGCCAGTTGCAGAGCACTCCTGGGAGAAGTCATCTGATTATGATCTAGCACCAGTACACAATGACATCAGGGGCGCCCACCGCACCTCCCTACAACCATACTCCCATGGGTCTCTAGTTGGCTTGTACTCATTCTTCACAGCAGTTATCTCAAACCTTTACTGCTCTCCTAAAGCCTTCCTTCTCTACTGTCTCTGAAGCAAACCGTCTAACCTATCTCAGAGAAAACAGGCTAGTAGGCAGGAAATCTCTTAACTTTCAGCCCCCAATTTCACTCTTTTGCATGACTACCCATCCTTGTCTCCTTCATTTTCATTCCAGTGGAAGATAGATCATTCTAGGGGCGCCTGGGTGGCTCAGTCAGTTAAGTGTCTGTCTTCGGCTCAGGTCATGATCCTGGGGTCCTGGGATCGAGCCCCATGTCAGGCTCCTGCTCAGCGGGAAACCTGCTTCTCCCTCTCCTCCCCCTGCTTGTACTCTCTCTCTCTCCATCAAATAAATGGAGAAATAAAATCTTAAAAAAAAAAAAAAAGGTGGATCCTTCTACACTTAAGTTAATCCCTCCACTGGGATCAGGAGTCTCCCTACCTCCTGCAGGACCTTGAGCCATCAACTATCCCCCCTGCTTCTCTCTGACCCTCTCCCTCTACTCACTCCTTTGCTCGGCAATTAAACATGTTCAAATTTTCCCCACGACCCTAAGATTACCACCCCGCCCTTTACACTGTCAGATACTGATCTTGCTCTCTCCTTTCTTCCCAGGCAAATGTTAGTAAGTTGAACTCACTGTTTGCTTTTCTTACCTCCTATTCTCTCTCTTTTTTTTTTTTTAAAGATTTTATTTATTTGAGATAGAGAGAATGAGAGAGACAGAGAGCACATGAGAGGGGGGAGGGTCAGAGGGAGAAGCAGGCTCCCTGCCGAGCAGGGAGCCCGATGCGGGACTCGATCCAGGGACTCCAGGATCATGACCTGAGCCGAAGGCAGTCGCTTAACCAACTGAGCCACCCAGGCGCCCCCCTATTCTCTCTTTAATCTAGTCTAGTCTACCTAGAGTCTACCCATACCATTCTGCTAAAATGCACCCAGCATAGTTCACTGATGATCTATTGGGTACTAATTGCCATGGAAGTTCCTCAATCTTTAGGTACTATCATTATTCCCTTCTTACAGATGAGGAAACCAAGGCAAAGAGACGTTTGGGTAACCTGCCCAAGATAACACAATCTCTCTGAGCATTTGCCACTTTTCAGAAGGAGGGAGGGGGACCTACCTTCTCCTTTTACTTCTCTGACCTCTCTTGTGGCCACCCCTTTATTCATCTGGATTTTGACATTCCCTAGGATTCTGTCTTTTTGGCCCTCACCTTGTACTATACAACCTCCTTAAGGTCATGCCTACTTGTGGCTACATGCTGATGACCTCTTAACAGGATGTACCACAGGCACCTCAAACTTACCCATGTCCCAAATTGAACTCACCAAACCCAAATCTGTTCCTCCTCCCATTGCTGAGTTCCCCAAGTTATTTACTTATACACTCCCTCTCTCCTTTATTCCTATTTCTTAAATCCATTTACTCTTCTCCAACTCATCATCTGACTGTTAGTTCACACTCCCATATTATCCATGCCCAGACTACTGAACACCCTTCTCAGTCTCTCCTTTTCTCCCTCCCTCCTAGATGCTCCAAACCTTTCTCTGCTCCACCAGCACTATCACTGCTGTCATTTCACTTTCTGCTTAAAATCTTTCAATGGTTCCCCTCAGCTTTAAGCATAGGTGAGAAGTCTAGTCTGGCCCCTAAGACACTTTGCAATGTGGCCTTGCTTACATATCCAGCTTCATTCTCTCAGCCCTTACTTGGAGGGAAAAGTTTTAAGTATATAATGCCAACTAGCAGCTAGTTACCAAATCATTTTACATTCAAGTCCATTAACTCCACAGAAGCTGCTTATTTTTATATATCACAATTCCTCCAAAATTTCCTCCTTCTTCTGGACCAAAGTGAGAAAGACTAATAGTGAGAAATTATGCTAGGAAATCTACTTGGCAAAAGTTTACTGACCACTCACCTCACAGAGGCCATGAAGTAGAAGAATATTAAATAATAGCCCTCAGGTTTTCATTCCCTAAGGAAGAGATAACGGTAGACACCGTAGATGCAAACTCCCCTTTGACTCATGTGCTATGGGGTCATCTGCTTCCGAGGCCTGAATTTGAATTAGCCACTCTGAAGGCTGGCATGCAGAAGCTAATCACTTAGCTAGTGAATGAGCTTGGCTGAATACACAATGGTCACATCCCAGTGAAACTTTATTAAGGGTCTGACTCACAGGTTTCATTTATATTTTAAACCACAAAGGGGAAGTCATTTGCTATCATGGTACTTGCTAATTTGTGTGTTCTCAAATATCCCTGGTGAATATCAATGGCCTATAGCCTACTAATAAATAAGGCAGCATGTGGTCCAAACCAGGTCCAAGTGAGGAGGAAGTCACCTCAGCTCAGATCAGGGAAGGATGGAGAATGTTTAATCTGTATTTAGTTTTGAAGGATAGTGAGAACTTAAAATGAAAAAGATGGAACTGAGGGCCCTCCACATGAATAGACTGGCAAAAGTAAAGATTAAGACAGCCAAATGTTGGGGTGCCTGGGTGGCTCAGTTGGTTAAGCGGCTGCCTTCGGCTCAGGTCATGATCCCAGGGTGCTGGGATCGAGCCCCGCACTGGGCCTGCTTCACCCTCTCCCTTGGCCTGCTGCTCCCCCTGCTTGTGCTCTCTCTCTCTCTCTGTCAAATAAATAAATAAAATCTTTAAAAAAAAAAAGAAAAGGCAAATGTTGAAAGCACAACTAGGGATCTTCTAGAAAACCAATGCTTCCTCTAGAGGCAAGAGGAGACAACTAAGGTTTTCTGATCCAAAAGCATGTAAGCTAAGGACATCCAAGCAGTCTGCAAGGCACTCCCTGTCCTGTCCCAACCATTCACACCTCTTATAAATATCAATGTTTCAGGTTGGAAACCTATCTGAAGGGGCATGCCAAGTTTTCAACACCTTCTGAAATACCTAGTAAAGGTAGAATAGCTTTTGCCTTGGTACATGGGCAAAGGTGGCCAGCCCTGTGAACCTCACTCAGAGAAGCGTGGCCAGGAATGCCTGGGGTGGGAATGATGAATCAAAGGAAAGGCAGCATAGTGGGTTCCCACACCTGCCTCTCTTTTCAACCTTGCCAACAAAGGGGTAAACAAAGTTTGAGGCTTCTGCTTCAAAAGTTCTGTGGTACTGCTGACAAGCTTTATTACTCTATTCGGTGAAAAAAAAATTATCAAACATTTTTCCTTCAAAAATTTTGGGGGAGCTAGGGTAAAGAAAGGGAAGGAGCAGGGCAACAGAGGAATAAATACAAGTAGAAATGCAAAGCCACGGTTACCTTTCCTTGCTGCTGCCTCTTTCCTGAGCTTCCTCAATTTCTCCAAGGCCCGAAGAATGTCCACCATTCTTTTGGTGTCTGCTTGCTTTTTCCTCACTTCAGATAAGACACCATCAGCAGCAGCTTTAAGTTCCTGCTCCTGGAAAAGAGAGTCCATGAGAAAGACCCTAGTATTAGGAACAGCCTTACAGCAGAGAACTGCTGCCTAGAAGGCAGATTTCAGAAGAACAACAGTTGCAGGGTTAAGAGTTTCTACTGGATCTCCATCTCAATTTCCTAGGCTGGACGAAATTCCTCTCCTACACTGGTCCAGCCAAGGGATTATCTTCTCTGCAGTTTCCATGTGGGTGCTGATCTTTGTTTCTTCCTTGGAATTTCTTCAAGTGTAGGTAGTCCAAGGAACATCTGCATCAACTTTAAGTTGGGGCTCTCTTATTAAAAATGTAGACTCCCGGACCTAAAGATTCAGATTAGGAGGGAAGATAAGGAATGGGTTGGAAGGGCCAGGACTCTACAGTTCTGTCAGTGACACACAACACGTGTGGCTTGTACTCCAGTGTTCTTAAGTGCCTAGGATCTTTTGACATGACAGCCTTTCAAACACTGAAGACCCTATCCTACTCTTCTTAAGTTGGTTCACATGTAGACAAAATGACTCCGGTTCCTCATGTGGTTGGTAAGAAAGATCCTTTTGCCTAAAGCTCTCGTCCCATCTATCAAATAAATGCCTATAATTCCACCATTACAACCACACCATGCTGTTTCCCTCTTCTGCTTCTATTACCCTCTCTGCACCTGTTGCTTTCACTTTGCTTTGACATCTCCTTTAAGACTCAGTTCAGATGTCACAATATCATCCACAAAGCGTTCCCTTACACCATCCCCCAACAGACTGGATATTCCTTCTCTGGGTTCGATAGCACCTACAGTTGAAACCCTAACACATACCATGCTGTACAGACATGGTCCCCATGAGGCTCTAAGCCCCTCAAGGACAAGCACTATATCCTATTCATCCCTATCACCAGCATTGGGTCTGGCACATAATGGGTCCTTATTAAATGTCTGTGGAACTGATGCTAACTCCCTTAGATTATGGTGCTGCCTCCAAGTATTCTCCTTGAAAGCACAGATATTCCTGGAAGTGTGAAGACAAATCTTGCCATCGCATTTCAGCGGGGAGTTATCAGATTCTAGGGCAGTAACAGACACAAGGAGGAAGAGGAGGGAGGAAACCCTAGCTGGTTGTAGAGAGTGAAGGGAGGGCGGCAAGCACCTAGAGGAACTCAGAAATAATGAGAATGCCTTCAACTATCTGATCAATTTCCATTTTCACCCTGGCCCCTAGGTAAGATCAAAAGACTTTGGAATCAGCCAACCTGGGCTCAGATCAGGAGTAAAACTGCTACAAACCAGTTTGTGATTGTTGGCAAGTTAGCTTCTCTACGCCTCAATTTCCTAATCTGTAAAATGGCGAGAATATGGTTTACCTCTCAGCGTTGTTACAGGGATTAAAGATCTGGCATATGCAAAGGCTTTAGCATAGTGTCTAGTATGCAGCAAGTGCTCAAAAACACCACTGTTAAACCTGGGGATATGTGGTTTAAAATTCCTAAACAAAGTAATCCTGGGAAAGTCATCACTACTGCCCCATCAGCCAATTAGGGTAAGGCACCAAGGGCTCTATATTTTGTATTAAAATCAGCGAACCAATACAAGAAACAAGGACCCATATTTTTGTTCGCCTTGAATGTTAGTAAGTGGACAAAACATTGTAGCAGGAAACAGGGCGTCTGGAATCCCTGCAACGTCACTGTGTAATCCTATACTTTGTATTTACAGGACCCGCAGTACACCTTGAGCATTTGTGTTCTGTACTATGCGTCATTTACATGCAATCAACATGAAGACGAGGTCGGAAAGCCTGGCTACCTTTTTATTTTACGAATGAGGAAAAGGAGGCTTAAACATGGGAAACGACAGCGCAAAGCCTCACGGCCATTCAGGTCCCAAACATCGCTACCTCCAGCCCCTGCGCATCTGCTGCTGCTCTTACCCGCTTCTTCTCCTCCACCTCCTGCACGCATTTGACCCTCCAAAGGTCAATCTCCTGCTCGCGCTCCGCTGCTCGCGCGGCCTCAGCCTCCCGCTCGGCTTCGCGTTCCCGGGCCCTCTCGCGAAGCCGCAGGCGGCGGCGCCGGACCCTCTCCAACCTCCGCCGCGCCTCACCCACATAGGCGGCCTGGGTTAGCAGCTGTAGTCTCTCGGCCAGTTGGGCGCGCAGCGGCGCGGCCTGGGCATGCAGCAGTACCCAGGCCGCGCCATCGGCCTCGGCCTCGCGCAGGGCCTGGCCCAGGTCGCGCAGCCGCCGCACCAGGCGCAGAGCCCCGCGCAACCGCGCGCGCACTTCCCCCAGGCTGGGCCCGGCGGGCGCGCGCGGAGGCACCGGGCAGCCGGTCCGCCGCGGGGTTCCGAACACCGCCTCTAGCCACTGCCGGTCGCGCAGGCGCTGCAGGGCCGCGTCCCCGAGTACGTCGGACGGCGGCGGTGCCTCAGGCCAGTGCGGGCTCCAGGGCGGCCCCGGGCCGGGCGGCGGCGGTCGCGGCCGCTCCCCACCGTCGGTCCCCGGGAAGGGCCGGCACTGGGGCGGCGGCGGGGGCAGCGGTGGTGGCGGCACCGGGTAGAAGACGCCACCGCCGCTACCGCCGCCGCCTCGAGAGGCTTCCCCGGAGGCCCGGGGCTGCAGAGCCAGCGGGGGCTGGAGGAAGGGGGCGGAGGCCCCCGGAAAGGGGCCGGGCCGCTGGGGAAGAGGCGGCGGGAAAGCCGGGGAGGGCAGCGGCGGTGGCGGACAGCCGAAGGGAGCGGGAGGCGGCGGCTGCGGAGGCGGCGGGCCTGGGCGACCCGGGGCGAAGAAGGGCGGCAGAGCCATATCCACGACGGAGGGAGTCTGAGCAGTGACAGAATTTGAGTGGTTCCCCTAGAAAGAGTGTCTTCCGGGGAGGAAGTGACGTAGTACACGCGCGACGCCAATACGACGCGCGGGTCCGAGAGCCCCCGGCACTTGTGGGCGTTTATTCAGTTCTTCAATTTCTAAATACTGCTCTTACTGAGCATTCTAGGTGCGGAGCCAGATGTATTGCAAACGTTGTAACTAACAGATACAGTTTCCCTCGTGAAACTACCTCTCTAGTAAAGAAACACATTAATCAAGTAATCGTGCAAACAAATGGAGAAGTGCAGCGGCGAATGGAAGTACTACCAAAGAGGAAAACACTGGGCAAGAATAGCTTATGGGAGATAAAGACTTAGTCAAATTAGGAGAGACTGTCCTAAGAATTTCAGCCTTCTGGTAAGTAGGAGATAAATAGAAGAGCGAGAAGCACAGTTCAGATAGGAACAGCATTTGCAAAAACTCTAGTAGATAGTAGGTCTAGTCTGGGAACTGAAAGAGTACCAGTATGGAAATGATGTGTTGCTGGGGTCCTGAAGCTAACAGTCAAGAAAGAATTCTTGAGAGGTTCTGGGTGCATAAAAGGTGGTTTCATTAAAGCACAGGGACAGAACCCATGGGCAGAAAGAGCTGCACTGGGATTGGTTATATACTTTAAGTTGGGTGGGGGTAGAAAAAAAGGAAATTTCCAAAAGGATTTTCCTATGTTAAAGAAGACTTACAGGATCCTGGAGGTCCGGCTATGGTCAAGCTAAGGTTGCTTTTTGCCTCTAGCAAAGCATTAACTTTAAGATAATTGGGAGTTCCTGGAGGAATGTCCTACTCTCCTGTCTCAGGTATTTGTCAATGGGCTGCAAATTGTAAGGAAATTAATTTGATCTACCGTTCCTTTTGCCTTTGTTCTCCATGTCTGATGGAACCCAGAAAGCCTGGAGGGAGCCTGGGAGGACAGATCATAGCATTCCAGGATCTCCTATCTTAAAAACAATGGGAAATCACTGGAGGGTTTTAAGCTGGAGAGGAAGGAAAGGCCATGCCACAAGATCAGGTATTTAAAATTAAACTATTTTGAGATAATTGTAGATTCATGTGCAGTTGTAAGAAATAATACAGGGAGATCTTGTGTACTTTTCACCCAGTTTCTCCCAATGGAAATATCTTGCAAAAGTGTAGTACAGTATTACAACTGAGACACTGACATTGATATAGTCAAGAAACAGCATTTCCCTATCATTGCTTCCAGGATCCCTTTATAGCCACACCCACTTCCCTTCCTTAACCTCTGGCAACAACTAACCTGTACTCCTTTATATAACTTAGTCCTTTCAAGAATGTTATATAGGGGCGCCTGGGCGGCTCAGTCGGTTAAGCGGCTGCCTTCCGCTCAGGTCTTGATCCCAGCGTCCTGGGATCGAGCCCCGAGCCCCGCATCGCATCGGGCTGCTTGCTCAGCGGGAAGCCTACTTCTCCCTCTCCCTCTGGCTGCCTGCCGCTTCCCCTGCTTATGCTCTCTCTCCATCTCTGTCTCTGTGTCAGATAAAAAGTAAAATCTTAAAAAAAAAAAAAAAAATGGGGGCACCTGAGTGGCTCAGATGGTTGAGTGTCTGCCTTCGGCTCAGGTCATCATCCCAGCGTCCTGGGATCGAGTCCCGCATCGGGCTCCCTGCTGGGCGGGGAGCCTGCTTCTCCCTCTGCCTCTGCCTCTCTCTCTCTGACTCTCATGAATAAATAAATAAAACATTTTAAAAAAATGTTATATAAGTGGAAACATACAGTACATAACCTTTTGGGATTCTATTTTTACTCAGCATTAATTCTCTGAAGATTCATTCAGGTTGCATCAATAGTGTTCCTTTTTATTGCAATAGAAGTATGCAAAGAAGGTGTGAATAAAATGAAACCACATTTTAAAACCATTCACATATTGAAGGATATTTGGGTTGTTTACACTTTGGGGTTATCATGAATAAAGGTGCTCTAAACATTTGTATACAGGTTTTTATGTGAACATAAATCTCCATTTCTTTGGGATAAATGCCCAGGAGTGCAACTGCAGGGTCATATTGTTGCAGGATTTTTTCTCTGTTGGTGCCTTGTGGTTCTTGGTCACGCTGCTGATGCAGTTTTGGAATATAGGTGAGGTTCAGTGGGGTGGAGTACGGAGCCGATGACCAAGAAAGAATTCTTGAGGCGTCTTTCGTGCAAAATGGTGGTTTATTAAAGCATGGAGACAGGACCTGTGGGCAGAAAGAGCTGCTGCCCTGTGGTCTTGAGGAGTGGCTGATTATATACTCAGGAGTTGGGGAGGTGAGGACAAAGGGGGTGTCCAGAAGGACTGTCATATGCTAAAGACTCAGGATACTGGAGGCCTGATTATGTTTCCTGGAGGAATGTTACATTCCTCCTATCACATGTCCTTGTCAATGGGCTTCAGGTTCAAAAGAAATTGAATTTTATTTACATTTCCTTCTACCTCAGCCTCCCTTGATTTTATGGAGGGGAGGGTGATGTTAGGGCTTCAGGAAACGGAGTTATGAGTCTCTGGAAGTTAGGCTATTGATAAGAAAGCTTCTTTCTTGTAAATCACTAGGACATTTGTAAACTGAGGGAGACTCCTGTCCCGCAGGACTGTGATCTCTATCAGTTAACCATTTGTTTTTCCTTTAGGGCAGCCAGGAGTACCTGAGGAATGTCACATATATCCCAAGGAGGGGGGGCGCGGGTTGTAGGGTGCCAGCTTCGGCTTTTTCCTCAGCTTGCCTTCTGTTCCTTCATCACAGCTTCAAAGAATGAAGAGGTAGACCAGACAGTGGTGGGCAGCAAAGCAAGGTTTATTGAGAGATAGCAAAGTAATAGCACAAAACTCCCAAGGAGGAAGGGGACCTAAGAGGGTTGCCACTGGAGTTTCTAAGTCTAGGGGGATTTTGTGGGCTTTGTTGACAGGCGGTTTTAATCTGATTAACCTTCCCTGTGCCTGTCATCCAATCAGGTTTTTGTCACCTATCATATAGGAAAAGGTGGAGGGCTCCTTTTTAAGGGTGGTTTCCTTTTGGCGGGGGGGGGGGGGGTCCTCATCCCTGCCTTCCAATTATCCTTCACCATGTTTAGTTTGTTTTTTTTTTTTTTTTTTTTAAGATTTTATTTGACAGAGAGAGGGAACACAAGCAGGGGGAGTGGGAGAGGGAGAAGCAGGCTTCCTGCAGAGCAGGGAGCCCGATGCGGGGCTCGAGCCCAGGACCCTGGGACCATGACCTGAGCCGAAGGTAGACGCTTAACGACTGAGCCACCCAGGCACCCGTTTTTGCTTTTAAATAGAACATAAGTTCTTAATTTTAATGAAGTCCAACTTAGCAGTGTTTCCTTTTATGGATCATGCTTTTGGAGTCAGATCAAGAACTCTTAGCTCTACATCCTGAAAATTTTCTCCTGTGCTTTTTCTAAAAGTTTTGTAGGTTTACATTTAACTCTGTGATCCATTTTGAGTTAATTTTTGTATAAGGTGTGAAACTTAGGTTGAGGTTCTCCCCCACCCTCCCCACTTTGGATGTCCAATTGCTGCAGCATCACATTAAATCTTTACTTCTCAAAGCAATAATAGAGGACCCCTTGGGTAAGAGTCCATATCTATACTGATGAGGATCAGAAGGCAAGCTGAGGACAAAGCACAACTGACACCCCACAAACACAACCCCCCCACTCCCAGGTGGGATTTGTGTGACATTCCTCAGGCACTCCTGGCTGCCCTAAAACTAATGGAAGGGAAAAACAAATGGCTAACTAATAGAGACCACAGTCCTGCAACACATGGTTCTCTTATCAGTTTACCAGTGTCTTAGTGAGTTACAAGGAAAAAGCATTCTTATTATTAGCCTAACTTTTGGAAACCCATAGACTCAATTTCCTGGAGCCCTAACATCACCCTCCCCTCCATAGTGATGTAGAAAACAAAGGTAGAAGGGAATGTAAATAAAATTAAATTTCCTTATAACCTGAAGCCCACTGACAAATACTTGAGGCAGGCAGAGTATATAATATTCCTCCAGGAAACTGCCAACTATCTTTTTATTTTTTTATTAACAGATAATGTATTATTTGTTTTAGGGGTACAGGTCTATGATTCATCAGCCTTACACAATTTACAGTGCTCACTATACCACATACCCTCCCCGGTATCCATCACCCAGCCACCCCATCCCTTCCACCCCCCTCCACTCCAGCAACCCTCAATTTGTTTTCTAAGAGTCTCTTATGGTTTGTCTCCCTCTCTGGTTTTGTTATTTCATTTTTTCCTCTCTTCCCCTATGATCCTCTGGCTTTTTCTCAAATTCCACATAACAGTGAGATCATATGATAATTGTTTTTTTAATTATTTTGCTTAGCATAATACCCTCTAGTTCCATCCATGTCGTTGCAAATGGCAAGATTTCATTTTTGATGGCTGCATAATATTCCATTGTGTGTGTGTGTGTGTGTGTGTGTGTTTATCATCTTTATCCATTCATCTGTCGATGGACATCTGTCTAGATAGACTCTTTCCATAGTTTGGCTGTTATGGACATTGCTGCTATAAACACTGGGGTGCACATGCCCCTTCGGATCACTACATTTTTATCTTTGGGGTAAATACCCAGTAGTGCAATTGCTGGGTTGTAGGGTAGCTCTATTTTCAACTTTTTGAGAAACCTCCATACTGTTTTCCAGAGTGGCTGCACCAGCTTGCATTCCCACCAAGTTTCTCCGCATCCTTGCCAACATCTATCGAGGAAACTTCCAACTATCTTAATGCTAATGTTTGCTAGAGGGAAAAACCACCTTAGCTTTACAATAGCCAGGCCTCCAGTATACTGAGAGTCTTCTTTAGCATATCAAAGTCCTTTTGGACACTTCTCTTTCCTCACCTCCCCCAACTCCCAAGTATTTAATTAGCCATTCCCCACAACCCCAGTGCAGCAACTCTTTCTGCCCATGGGTCCTATCGCCGTGCTTTAATAAAATCACCTTTCTGCATCAAAGATGTCTCAAGAATTCTCTTGGCCGTTGGC